TGAGACTGTCTAAACAATAAAAACGAAAAATTAGTATTGAAACTGTTTTAGATCAAAGGTTTATGCACCTTGCAGAGACATTGAGATGAAGAAACTTTTTTTCGTATTTTTTTTCTAAAATTTGTACGGCATGGTCAAGTTTTCTGTAAAAGGTAGAAGAAACTTAGTCGGTTACAGCACTATATAGTGCGCTGTCAGTTCACGACTAATGTGGAGTGACTTTGAGAAAATCACTACGTTGGAAGTAAACAACGGACAAAAAGAAACCACTGGAACCGTTATAAACAGAAGTGATAAGACAGTGCGTTAAGAAAAACAAAAACAATATCTGTTTTAAGAAACAAACTACTACGAGTTACAAATTAGCGATGATTGACTGTCGCAGAAACTAAGTTTTTTGAGCTTTCTTGCAGAAAACTTCGTGACGAGGATGAGTAGAGGGGAAAAAATTATTTGCAGCAGCAATACTAAATGTTACAAAAAATTTTGACTTTTGCACTTTGAGAAACTTGTTTCTGTTTTTAATCGGGTAATTTGGCAAGGACATCAATGCTTTTGAGCTGTTTGGAGACTCAACTTGAGCTTTTTTCTGTACTTTTCAGATTGAAAACAGCTAGGAGTTGAGTTGATCGACTGAGAGTTCTAGCCGCATCTGTATGCACTGGAGAACATTATAAACAAACCTATCCAAATCAAAGGAAATTGGTAAGTTTCAGATGAAATAACATGCGTTTAATGTAAGTGCTCAGAGTCAACAAGCACGATGAACGTTCTAAAGTGCAAGAAGTCGTCTGTGAATCTTACGTTTACTGAAAGACAGAATTCCTCGTCTTGCTTCAAAAATTATACAGCCGGTAGTAAGTCCACTCATTTGTCAATCCCGGATGACAACATTATTTAAGTATCGGACTTTTTCACGTTATGGTATGCGATATTGACATGATTTTATGACTCATTGTCAAGATTTTCCTTCGTACCTATATTTCTTAGCAAGGGTTTCTTAGCATTTCTTAGCAATTTTCTTTTTTCCTATATTTCTTTCAAGTACAGCGTTACAAACCTAGATTAGTTTGTAAGTTTACACTGGTTAGGCAAATAAACTTTGTTACAGTGCAGGAAATGGATAAGAAATTAGTAAAAAATTGAAGAATTCACAAAAAAGAAAGAAAACTAAGCGCAATTCGACTCATATTTCACGAGAGTGGATTTTACTGCACTAAAGAAAGAAAGTAGGCAGAAAGTA